AGTCTTCTTAGCAGGGATCTGTGCCAAGGGTCAAGCTAAAGATGAATCAGGCATCTGGTTTAGAGAAAGCTTTTAGATAAGGTCAGTCCACTAGACCCAGGGACATTCTCCAGATAAGTGCAGGTAGAGAACAAGAAGTCTTGCTGGAGAGGGAAGGAGTTTCCATATTGCTGAGCTTAGAGAAAAAGCTGCTAGACTATGGCAGACTGTGACCTCTAACTAGTCAGCAAAGTCTTCCAACAGCTGTCTACCAACAAAGGTTCAAGAATCTAATAGTTGTTCAGTCTACAAGGCTAGATGTCTCAACTGGCCTTCAGTATACTCCAGAGTCTTGAAGAAGTAGACTCTAATGCCGCTGAAGGAATGGACTTGTCAGCAAGAGCAAGCAGGCAAAGAGAGCAAGCTTCCTTTTTCCATGTTATTCATAGAGGCTACCAGCAGAGGTGAAGTCCAGGTTAAAGGTGGATCTTCCCACTTCAGAATGTCTGGATTAGAAGTGGTTCTTCCCACTTCAAGTGATTCAGTTAAAAACAAAACAACAACAACAATAACAAAAAAAAACCCCAGAAAACAAAACTTGCCTGTGTCCAGCTACATGGGCTTTAATTAATTCCAGGTGTTATCAAGGTGACAAACAAGAATAATCATCAGGGTGTGCTTGACTTCGGGTCTTGGCTTTTTGTTAGTTCTATTACCTTAGATAATTTTATTTCTTTGAATATCACTTTTTTTAACTGAAAAAAGTGTGTTTGTATGAGGGTTTTTTTTAATCTTTATTTTTTTATTAAAATTTTTTTTTCATTTTACTTACCAACCACAGTTCCCGCTACCTCCCGTCCTCCCACTCGCCTTCTCCAACCTCCATCCACTCCTCAGAAAGTATAAGGCATTCCATGGCCAAGTCAACGAAGTCTGGCATATCAAGTTGAGGTCGGACCAAGCCCCTCCTCCCTGAATCAAGACTGAGGTGTCCCACCATAGAGAATGGGCTCCAAAAAGCCAGGTCATGCAGGAGGGATAAATTCTGGTCTCATTGCCAGGGCCCCACAAGCAGGCCAAGCCAGACAACTGTCACCCACATTCAGAGGGCCAAGTTCAGTCCCCTGCAGGCTGCCAACCATCAGTCCAGAGTAGGTGAGCTCCAACTAGCTCAGGTCAGCTGTCTCTGTGGGTTTCCCCATCATGATTTTGACCCCCATCCTTGCTCATACAATCCTTCCTCCCTCTCTTTGACTGGACTCCAGGTGCTCGGCCCAGTGCCTAGCTGTGGATCTCTGCATCTGCTTCCATCGGTCAATGGATGAAGGTTCTATGATGACAATTAGGGTAGTCACCAATCTGATTACTAGGGAAGGCCAGTTGAGGCACCCTCTCCACTACTGCTAGGAGTCTTAGCTGGGGTCATTTGGTGGATTACTGGGTGTTTTCCTAGCACCAGGATTCTCCCTAACCCCATAATGGCTCCCTCCCTCTAACAAGATATCTTGTTCATTGCTCTCCCTCTCCGTCCCTCCCCTTACTCACCCATCCCATTCCCTGTAGGAGAGTTTCATATGGGAGTTAAAAAATAAAGGTATGATATATAAATCACTAAAAAACAGCATTCTTATTGCTAAATTCTTAGAAGTATGTTGTCTTGTCCCATCCTATTTTCAATTTTATTGTTGGACTCTATCTTACCAAAGTGAAGGGCTTCCAGTCTGCTTCTCTGCAACTGTCCAGCATGGGCGGAGGGCGGTCAAACAGTAATGCATCAGTGCAGACACACTGTTCAGTCTATAGTAGACTCATGTAAGTGTTTAGAGCAAAGGATGGTAGAAAATGAGAAGCTCCAGGAGAAGAAAAATGTTTAGAAGGACAGCATCATCAGACGCTGAAGAGTGAGTGAGTGAATTACTAGATGTGTAGTTTTGAAATGATAAGAACTACCTTGCTCGTGTCTCATTCATTGTAATATCCTTGGCATTTCATACAGTGACCTGCACAGGGAATATACCAATAAATATTTAATGACTAAACAGAGTGTTGGTAGCAGGAGTAGGTAAGAAAAGCGGTTCTGAGATCTGCAGTGTTTCCTCCTTCCCCTCTTTCTTTTCCTGCCTTTCTGCTTTCCTTGCATCTTTCTCCTTCTTAGACAGTGTGGCATGATTGATCCTTCCTCAAGCATATCTCCTGACGGTTGCAAATTCAGCATCTCATCAAACTCAGTGTTAATACGGGGATTCTTTTTAAGAAGACCACGAAACAGTAGAACATTTAAGGGGTGGCAGTGTTTCAGGTGGGAGAGCTGAGAGACTTGGAGCATGTGGTGCATACAAATTTGCAAACAGCAGTTGAGACACTTTGTACCAGACTTTTTCTTTTAGGCCACCAACCAGCTCCTAAATCATGACAGAGAAACTAATTATTAGTTTCGAATGCTAGGCCTAGCTTAGGCTCATTTCTGGCTAGCTCTTTTAACTTAAATTAACCTCTTTTTCTTTATCTACCTTTTGCCTTGAGGAGGCATTTTGCTTTTTCTCTCTGTGTATCTTACTTTCATTGCTTCTTGTGTCTGTCTGTCTGGCAGCTGCCTGGCTTTTTACCCCTGGCATTTCTCTCTCTTTCTCCTTCGCTCTCTCCTCTCTTTTTTTATTTTTAGATTTCTCCTCCTACTTGTTCTCTCTGCCCACCAGCCCTGCCTGTCTCTTTTCTGCCTAGCTATTGGCCATTCAGCTTTTTATTAGACCAATCAGGTGCCTTAGGCAGGAAAGGTGAAACAGCAACACATCTTCACATAGTCAAACAAATGCAGCAGAAACAAATGTAGCACACCTTTATATAGTTAAAGTAATATTCCAAAGCATAAATAAATGTAACACATCTTTGCCCAGTTAGAATAATATTTCACAACAACACTTGGTCCAAGTTCAGTTTTCTGGAGAAGGTATACTTTGATTATAGACTAGAGATACTAGACATAGCTAGGAAAAGTAAAGGTAATTGATTAGAACTGTGATGCTAGAGAAGATCCCTGTAGTGAGATAATACAGATGACATGGTATGATTGATAAGATTGAGAGACTTCCGTCTTGCACAGGAGGTCTTGTGAACTACTTTTGCAATATCTCAGTACCTACAGCATCCTGTCCGGATATTCTGATTTCCTTCCTTAGTAACTTTTCCCCACAATAAGACTCACAATGATGGGGTACCTTGTGAGGAGGAGCCACAAGTCCTTATTTCTGAGTTGCTTTTAATAGTGTAGTATCTGAAGGTGACCTCAGTCTCCCTTGTAGGCACAGCCTATGGACCCAGTACGTGACCTCCTTAGTCTGAGGGCCAGGGTATGGCACAGGAGTACTTGCCAGACCCCGATGAATGCTGGCCAGTGTTGCTAGAGTTTTCCTGCCTGGCCCACAGTCAGGGCAAATCTCTCTCACCTGCCAGTCCCACAGCCGTCAGACCCGACCAAGTAAACACAGAGACTTGTATTGGTTTCAAACTGTATGGCCATGGCAGGCTTCTTGCTAACTGTTCTTTCAGCTTAAATTAATCCATTTTTATAAATCTATACCTTGCCACATGGCTCGTGGCTTACTGGCATCTTCACATGCTGTTTCTCATCGTGGTGGCTGGCAGTGTCTCTCTGACTCAGCCTTCCACTTCCCAGCTTTATTCTCCTCCTTGTCCCGCCTACACTTCCTGCCTAGCCAATGGCCAATCAGTGTTTTAATTATTGACTAATCAGCAACACATTTGACATACAGAACATCCCACAGCAGGCCAGTCCCTCCTCTCTTTGAGTTGAGGCATTTATCTGTCTGTCAAAGATCTTGTTGTTGGCCTTTTTCATCATCACAGTTTAGGTAACTAGCAACATGCTAGTCTACCTCGGGTCATTGCAACTGTCAGGGGTTAAAGGACCCAGCAGAGCTGGGCACACTGGGATTTCACTGCTTCGGGAGCCACAGAGTTGGTGATTTTAGTATACCAAGGCTGTTGTTTACATTTTTTAACTATGTCTCTAATTAGAATTATATGTCCAGAGATCCTGAAAAATTGTCACTTGGCCCATTAGTAATTGAAGTGACTCTGAACCTTAACCTTTGATATTTCTCCGTCTCTTTGGAGAAGTCAGAACCAGATAATTATGAGCTAAGTCCCAAATCCTCTGGAATAATAGGAAATGATAACAACAATAAAACTGTAGGAAAGATGAAGCCAAAAGGTTATAAGGTATCAGTTTCCCAGTTTGCTTGAAGCTGAAATTCAGGTTTGTTGCCCAGCTGAGGGGTTCCTGCAGGTGCCAGGGAAGCAAACCATGCAAGAGATGAGAATGAAAACCTGGTGCAGACTGACTGTCAACCTGGATCAGACTTTGGGGAGTCTAATGCCAGGTGGTTCATCGTCAGCATATTTAAACCACAGTACGATTTGGGGAAAAGTTTCCAGCAACAACCAAAAAGAAGCTGAGAACAAGTACTTGTCCCCACTATCTTGGTTTCTAGTCAAGACTTCTGAGGAAATACTCTTATGAAAGATGTAACCTTCCTATGAAGAAAATGAGAGGCTAATACACTTGGAGTCCCAAAGAGGGTAGATATCAAAATCCTGCACACATGTGTGACAACAAACAGACAAATATGAGCATGCTAACACACACACACACACACACACACACACACACACACACACACACACACACAGAGTCACCTCCACAAATGTTACTGTTGCAGTACTTGATTAAAAATATAAAGTCACTGAAATACTAACATAAAAGCATATGCCCCTTTCTTCATTTTTAAAATTACATTTTTGCTATCTTAAAATTGTTTTTGTACAATGTATTTTGATCATATTCTTCTCCTCCCTCAAGTCCTCCCAGATCCTCCCCTCCTCCCTCCCCACCCAACTTCAAGTTCTCTCTCTCTCTCTCTCTCTCTCTCTCTCTCTCTCTCTCTCTCTCAAGAAAGAAACACACAAACCCCCCCAAGAAAACAAAACAATGAAGAAGGGCTGTAGGAGCGGAGAAACAACAGGGCAGCCAGTCCCATCTCCCTTTTGTCTCTCAGACTTGGAGGAAAGACATTGTTCAACAACTTAAACAGGTAAACAAGATTTTAAGGAGAATGTTTAAACTGCTTAATAGAACAAATTGCTTTTAAACACAGATAAGTAGCTGTTGAAGCTTCAATTTGCATAAAAATAATGAATATGCTAATTGAAAAAAATCCTCGCTAGTCATTAGGGAGTCTCCTTTGGGGCTCCTCAAAGACAGCTCATTGTTACTCTGGTTGCAGTTACTATATATACTTAGGTACATTCTCCCACAAACACTGGCAACTTCTTTGTTCTTGCTAATCGAAGTAGGTCTGTACTCTGGCAGCTGACTTGGAGAGATTCTTCTACATGTGAACATGTATGAATTTACAAATAATGCTTCGATTTCATGCTGTCATAGGAGGAATGACACAATCTTGCCACATGTCCTAGGTGCTCAGAGCTGTGATGTGTATTGCGGAGGCAGACATTAGAAGCCCAGAGAATTCCAATGCCCTTGCTTCGGGTTGTGATTTCAGTTTTTGCTGATGTATCTATACTCAGGTTGTAACCAGTTTCCTTGGTTCTTAAGCCTGTGGGATTTATTAATCTGCATAAGTGAATTTGCATGAATATGAATGGGAATGCTGATTATTTCTGAATTACTTATTAGTACAGATGTTAAATGAAGTACAATTGTTTACTTGAAAAAGTCTGTACACAAAATGTAACAATTACAGGGAAACTCAGGAGAACAAAGGTATAGGCACAAGCAGGCACCTGCAAGGGAATGGCTAAGCTAGGTCACAGGCCAGCTTACAGGTCACCTAGAAGGGAGGAATTCTGACGCTCAGCAGTTTAGAATCCCAGGGCGCACTGGAGGACTCTAACCGGTTCCAGCCCTGGTGGTGTGGCCACTTCCTGCTCTTGCCAAAACCAGTGGGCAGAGAGCTTTATTCTAATGTTGGCTTGGAGAAACAGAAGAAAGACTATTCATTCTAGGGAGTATTTCTTGTGTTCCAAGGGGTGGTTTGTGGGAAAATAGGGGGTAGCTTTCTGTACTTGGTAGGACACCAAACTTAGGAAAGCTGTGTGTTCTGAATCTCCCTGACAATGTAGGTGGACACAGTGGTCTCTCTGGCCAGTGTCCACTTGCACCCGAGAGCGGTCTTTTCTGCAGTGATCCCTCGGTCATTCTTTACACTTTAGGGCTCCCCAGTTCACCTTGTAGTAACCCCACCTATCTTCTACTCCATGCTGTGTGTCGCCTCTGAATTCTTTGCATGAATATCACAAGGGCCAAGAAGCCCAAGGATGGCCAGAGAGCGAGGCCCTGGTCCATGTTTCTCAGACACCAAATTTGACTGAATAGTCAAGATTTATTTCCAAGTTACCGCCACACCATCACCCTCTCCCAACTCCTGGCTTAGCAAGTTGTGTAAAAACCTCCACAAGCTCTAAGAATTTATATCTTAAGAGACTTAATCTGGATTGATGATTAAAACACGCTACCAGGGGAGCGAGGTGACAACTCAGACGTGACTCACACAGCTGAGTGATTTAGATAGAGATTTGGGGAAATAATTTAAACAATGAGGAGGTACTTTTCATTTATACAAAATCTATTCATGTACTTACAGACCCCAAATGTGTCATCCCGTAGCCATCCATAGACCAGTCTTGCTTTAAAACTCAGTCAAATATTCTCCAAGTCCACTGTGTGTTATCCTGCTGCACCTCTGGTCAGAATTTGCAAAGTTCCTGCCTAGTTTCACTACTCCTTTAAAAACATTCTTACACAGTTCTCTTTGACTCATTGCCGGGATGACCATGCTTCGCAATTCACAGTGTGTGTGTGACCATCTTTCCAGCTCTAATTCGTGTGTGTGTGTGCATGTGTGTGTGTGCGTGTGCATGTGTGTATGGCCATCTTTCCAGCTCTAATTCGTGTGTGTGTGTGTGTGTACATGTGTGTATGGCCATCTTTCCAGCTCTAATTTGTGTGTGTGTGTGTGTGTGTGTGTGTGTGTGTGTGAGACCATCTTTCCAGCTCTAATTACAGTTTTCTATATTTGTTTTGAATAAACACATTGGTTTTCAGGGTTGTCTTAAGTTTCAAAGGTATTTTATAAAAAAGCCATGATTAATTCCTCAGAAGTCCATGCCTTTCTTCTTGGCCTTCTCTTTTCTTTCCTTTATTTAGTAAACCTACTTGGTTATGCATTTTATTAATTATTTGTATTTTATTACTATTTATTTATATTTTATTAAAAGACCATGATCTAATTCCTTAGAAGTCCTCTCCTTTCTTTCCTTTATTCAGTAAGCCTGCTTACATATATGTTTAGCTCCCACATCCATATTTGTTGATGCTGAAAATGAAGAAGTAATGCAGCATAGTCTGTCCCACTGTTGAGTACTGCTCATCTTTGGGATACTTTCAAACTAAGCGTGACAGTGATTTATCATATAGATGAAAATATGAAGTGTATTAGGGGACACAGGGGACAATTATCTTAACATGAATGTTTAAAACATGTCAATGTTTTCTGAACAACTGACTTTATCAATAACCTTATCAAAGCACAGGTAGACAGTGGTTGATTTTTACAAAAGGATGGATTTGAAAATTCTAATGAAAGAAGAATGAAGTTTGTATCTTAAGCACACATTCAATGAGTACAGTTAAATGTTAACTAAGTTTTCTAGTGTCCACATAGCTGAAATAAGAATTAATTAAGTCTGAAGATCTCTTCTGAAGTTAGAGCAGGATAGTGGACTGTTGCTGGTTACCTGTCAATCTCCATGGCCATGCATGCACACAGGGTGTCTGCAAAAGGATGTAAATGTATATAAAGTCCACTGTGGTATTTACATGTTTGCTCATCCCAGAATTATCAGGGTACATACTAATTTTTATGCAACTGAAAATGAAGATAAAATGCTAAGAGGGAAAAAAATTAAAGTTTCCCTCTTGGGATTAACAAAAGGGTTTTCAGAACAAGAGGGTATTCAAAAGAGCACAGTTGAGTGCTGGCTGGGTAACATTTGGGATCTTCTATCGTCTATGCCCACCTGCCAGACACACCCTCACAACTGCTTCATAGTCTGTGCTGTTCATGCCAGTCAGGAAGGTCTCTGACTCCTGTGGGTACAATAGCTTTTGTTTGTCCCTGCTCTTCATGGGCTCACCAATAAACAAATGACTGTGACTCTTGCAGTGAGAATAGAATACTCAAGCAGGACTGAGAACCTTTTTTTTAAACCATGGGGATTATTGATTTGTTCAGTGACTTTTGTCCTTGATAAATCTCAAGTTTTCAGTGGTGTGCAATTTTGTAAATATAAGCCAAGTGCCCTGGGTCTTTCCTTAATTAATACACACTTTACTGGGAAGCTTGCCTTCTCCCCTATGATTTTACCACAGAGAAAATGAGATCTTGAAAAATCAAATATACTAAAAAAAAGGGCTGGTGTCAAAGTCAAAGCAGCTGTAAAATTAGCTCTTAGTTTTGATTAAAATTAGAAGGCAAATTTTTATCACAGACGTTCTAAAGCTGGCTTTCTGAGTTCTGTTGTATTCTGGTTTGATATTTTATACAATGCTTTCAATGGGACATGCCATGTGCACCACAGGAGGATTGCAGCAACTCCAGGTCTCCCCTGGAGAAGTCAGCCACCCTCAGCTCTCAGCCACGACAACAGAAATACGTGTTTCAGAGAATGCTACAAAGTCACTCTTCAGGCTCAGAACCAGGTTGTAAACTAGTCTATGACTTCTTGCACATCACACATATAATTATGAATTTTTACATACTGAAATCTTAAGCTGGCCTTGAATCTATGATAAGGAAAGATCTTTTAACTCAAGCTTTAGTTTGAAAACACCTAAGCAATTTTGAGTTCTTCTGGACAACATCTTGTGCTTATCTTTTCCTAATGCTTAAGTCTGGTCAAACTACAGTTCGTTCAGTACAGCTATCATGTGTGTCCCACAAGCAAGGATGTCCCTTTCTAGTCATTGTCATGTCCTGGCATACTTCTCCCTCTAGCAATTCAAACCCAGCTGTCTTATCTGCCCGTGTTTCTAAGTCTGCTGTTTCTCCTGGACAATGGCTATGCATCACCATTGGTTCAGTCTACCAAGGTCCTGTGTGCTGTAATAGATGAGACTCCAAATGTCAGTGGCTTAAAATAGTACAACTTCATTCTCTTACACATGAGGGTCCATTCATATGTATGTGTGGGTGGCTGAATATCTTCTCATATGCTTTTTCTACCTTATAGTTCTTCTGCTTTTGAGGACACTGGAGATGTACTTTTCAAATGACCAATGAGAGAGAGTACCATATGGTTTTTTTTTTTAACCATTTCAGCCCTAAGAGTCTATTAAATCCCTTCTCATTTCTTTTTATAACAAAGTCACTGACCATATCTTAATGGAAAATGAAGCCAAGCTATACAACTACCTTGAGAGAAGAAACTGGTTTTGGTAATAATCTCTTTGAGACTCAAATATTTTTTATTTACCCAGTCATGTGGCTTTCTCCCAGGACTACTTAGCTCTTGGCTTTCTCTATAAATTCAGTGGGCTCCACCAGAACTCTTCTAGTTGACCACTCAGGTTTCTTAGCTCCATGGACTGCCTGGACTTAGCAAAAATATTCTGATTTATGTTGTGGGATGGTCTTTCTGTATGCTGTGAATATGTGTTGCTACCATTGGTTAATAAAGAAGCTGCTTTGACCTATGGCAAGACAGGTTATAGCCAAGTGGGAAATCCAAGAGAGAGACAGGGAGAAGAAAGGCAGAGACAATACAGACACCGTCCAGCTGCCCAAGGAGTAAGATGTCAGCACACTACATGGCAAACTATAGATGAATAGAAATGGGCTAATTTAAGATGTAAAAACTATCTAGCAATAAACTTGAGCTGTAGACCAAACAGTCTATAGTTAATATAAGTCTCTGTGTGTTTGTTTGAGACTGAACTGCTGTGAGATACAGGAAAACTTCCATCTACATGTGGTGCCCAAACGTATGGCAAGAATCTCCACATGAAATCCGA